TCCCGGTAATCACGTGACCGCCACCGCCTCTTCCCCCCTCCCCCGGGATGCTCCGCCGCCTCCACCAATCGGGAGGCGGGAATCGCCTGCATCCCGCTCGGCCAATGGGAGCGCGCTGCGCCACCGCGCTGCGCCTTTAAGGGGCGGGACTGCGTCACCCCGCGGGGCGGGACCGCGCCCTCTCATTGGCCGCGACCGCGACGACTCGGCCCAATCGCGTGCGCGCACGGAGCCGCCGCCGCCGCTATGGCCTCAATCCAGGGGGCTCCCTCCCCGCCCGGCGGCCAATAGGAGGCTCTCTCCTCGCCGACTGACGGCCAGCTGCCCAATCGCCGCGCGGTTCGCCGGGAGGGGCGGGCCGAGCGAGCGAGGCGGCGGGCGGAAGCGGGGCGGCGGGGCAAGATGGCGGCGGCGCCGGGGTTGGCGTTGCTGGCGCTGCTGGCGGCGCTGCGGGCGGGGAGCGGAGCGCTCAACATGCGGGAGCTGAGCGACATGGCGTACGGGCTGGAGATACTGAGGGAGCCCGTGCTGGCCGGGCAGGTGACCGGCCGGGGGCTGCGGGGCGCGGCGACGGGCCAGCAATGGGGGGGCGAGGGGAGGAGCGGGGGGGTACTGGGAATGGGAACTGGGAATGGGAACTGGGAGTGGGCAGTGGGCACTGGGAGGGGGAACTGGGGATGGGAATGGGCAGTGAGATCTGGGAGGGCGGTGTCGAGAACTGGGGATGGGCAGCGGGAACTGGGAGGGGAAACTGGGAGGGGATGCTGGGAGCGGGGAATGGCACTGAGGGTGGGAACTGGGAACTGGGAGCGGATACTGGGAAGCGGGAACGCGGAGCTGGGAATGGGCGGCGGGAACTGGGAATGGGCGGCGGGAGGGGTACTGGGAACTGGGAACAGATACTGGGAGTGGGGAGTGGAAACGAGCATCAGGAGCGGGTTGTGAGGGTGCTGGGAACGGGAGAAGGGAGCTGGGAGCAGCTGCTGGATGCGCTACTGGGAGTGGGAGCTGGGGGTGGGAGGAGGGCGGTGGGGATGAGCACTGGATGAAGGGGTGGGAATGGGAACGGGCACCAAGAATGGGGAATGGGCGGAGGGAACTGGGAACAGGTGCTGGGAATGGGAAAGGGGCACTGATAACAGGAAGGGGCACTGATAACGGGGAGGGGCACTGATGGGGAAGGGACACCGATGTGGGTAACAGGAACGGGCAGTGGGGCAGCGTGAGTGGGCAGCAGCCCCAGGCCCGACCCAAAATGGGGATGGGCGGTGGGAACGGGGCCCGGATCCAAACTGGGATGTGTGGGGCGGGCTGTGGGGTCCTATGGGAACAGCCATGATGGGGGGGCGGGGGAGCAGCGCTGGGCCCAGGCAGGAAATGCGGGCAGGAAGGAGGGGGTCTGAGGGTGGCAGCGGACGTGGGGCGACAGCGGGGGGCTCTTGGGGGGGGTGGGAGCAGCTTCCCCCGGCGGAGGGGTCCCCGCGGGGCCGTACCTCGGTGCTGTGGGGGCTGCAGCCGTCACCACGAGGCCGGTGACCACGGTGACCACGGTGACGACGGTGGCGGTGACCCGGAGCAGCGCTCGGCAGCCGCTTCCGCAATGCTGTCAGCGCGGCGGGGCGCGGCATGGGGCAAAGTCTGCGCCCCACGGCGCTGTGCTGGCGGGGGCACCCTGAGCCCCCGACACGGGAGTCCCCTCGTGTCACCGCCACACCACCCCCAGCCTGGCCCTGCGGTCCCCTGTGTCAGCCACCCACCCCCAGGGGTCCCTTTGCGTCACCCCTCCCTCTATTCTGGCCCTGAGGGTCCCCTTATGTCACCACCCCCCCCATTGCCAGGGGTCCTCTTGTGTCATCCCTCCCTTTATGTCCCCCACCCCCCAGCCTGGCCCTGGGGTCTC